AAAAAAGAACACGGAAACATTGCTCCAATAATGTTTTTTTTTTTTTTTTGTAGATTCCAGTGGCAAAGACAGAAAATTTGGCTAATTTTATTATGCTCCAACGATTCCCCTCAAGAACATTTTGTCAAGTCTTTCTCTTCTCAAAATTGCCAGTTAGAAAAAAAACGAAAAATACGACTTTTTGGAGGAAAAACTAAGTACTAAGAGTACTAAGAAACAACTAAGAAATATCTCGTACAGCATTACAAAGGAAATGAGAGACCTTCAAGGGAGCCAAAGTCAAAATTCCTTCTTTTTTAAATTAGCAGTTTTGGGAACTAGTGCGTTTTATGCAGCTATGCAATTTTTATGCTTTTTTTTGCAGCTATGCAATGCAGAAAACACATACTGACGAGGGTTGTCTGTGTGTGTCTGTCACGGTTTTTCATCCGAAGACCTACAAAAGCTACAAGGCTGAAACTTTGGGAACTTAATCTAATACATATAAATTAATGGCTCGGCTCCTTGATGATAATCTGATACTTTTATACACTGCGGTCTCAATACTGTATATTTTCATGCCACTAACATATATTGCGTCAGTTTCCACAAAAAAAGCAAAAAAAAGAAGATCTTAAAACCAGCCTTTATGAACTTATCCGGTATAGTGCCCAGAGGTATTTGCAATGTCTCATATTGCCGTTGCAATGAATCCAGTACAGCTGCATGTTCAGGCATCTGTTTTTTCAGCTTCGCAAAATCATATTTCGGTAAACTGGCCGGTTTTGACATCACTTCGCTCAAGAACTGATGATGATGGTGCTAAAAACGAACTACTTATGAGCTATTCAGGAAAAAATTCACAAAAAAAAGTTCACGGAGAGGTACTGGCTTTTACAAAACAAAACCTGTTTTTGGAAAAAAAAATGTCTTAGGCTTGTTTTCTTCAGACAGTTGTTGAAAAGAAACACTTCCATACTTATTTTTAGGGTTAAAGAAAAAATATGAGAAAAAACGATGAAAAGCATGTAAGGAATTATTAAATGAGGTAAAAAAATGTTTCGGTCCATTAAGTCGTATACATTTCTTACCGTTACCACAATTGGACCTCGTCCTGTGATTGACAATTGGACCTTGTTTCTTAGCTTTACCACAGTTGGACCTCGTTTCCCTCCTCCTTTTCCACATAGTTTCTTTTTTCCTCCCATGCCCTCCCTATGACTGACAATTTCCCTCTGTAATCTTTACTCATACAATAAAGCAAAATGATAGTGCGCACAACAAACAGCCTGAACTACTGCCATCCAGCATTCTAGCTTTTCTGGTTCCCGAGTTAGCAATTTACCCGCAAAAAAGTTTCATGGGCCCGTACTTGGGGAAAAAAATGAACAACTGACCACAAGAGCAGCAACTTCCTTCGCATGACTTTCACCGACCAGATCACCGATTGTCTTGAAATTTACCACACTTTGCGTGAAACGTTTCGCCGCCATCACAAATGCACTTGCTTCGGCCTGAAACTCGCTTGCATATCACTCAAAACATCAATAAGTATGTAAAAACCACGCAGCGTCGATGTCCTCAAAGTGCCAAACTGAAAGAACAGTGCACACCTCTTCAGCAGCACTGTACTAAGGCAATGACGTACGGATGCGAAACGTGGTCACTGACGAAAGTTGAAGAGCGAACGCTAGCTCAGAGAAGCAAGAAGAGTGAAGGGATGGAATGTTTGGCCTGTCGCTTCAATGAGTATATAAACCAGGCATAGGCAGCTTTTGGCGACACAACGGCCTAACTTATATAATTACTTAAACTCGCGAGCTACCTTTTAATAAAACTCAGGTAAAGCAACACACACTAGATTTGCCCGTGCAACCCATGTGTTTTTATGCTAAATCTGACGCAGTCAAATTGTTAATAATATGAATAGTGTCTCAAAGTATTTTCCAGGCTGTCGCCTGTTAGCCCCGTGCGTATTTTAGTTTTATTATGCGTTTTTTGCAGCTATGCAATGCAGAAAACGCATACTGATTAGGGATTGCCTGTGTGTCCATGTGTGCGTCTATACCGATTTTTCATCTCAAGACCTATAAAAGCTCTGGGCTGAAACTTTGGAAATTTAATCTACATGCACGTGCGGGCCCCCCCAAAATGGGCGTCTCACCTAAAGGATGAAACACAGACTGCATCCTACATCATGTCTTTTTGCACATGATA